CCCCCAGTACCTCCCATGTGCTCCCCAGTACCTCCATTAAATAAATAAATGAACCTAATTATTCCCCCTCCCCCCCCAAAATAGAGAGAGAAGGGGAAGTAAGTTCAGCTTAGGACATGCCAAGCTTTAGGCTGTGGGACATCAGGTGGCAGTGACAGGCAGGCAGCGGGAATTCTGTTGGAGCTCGACAGTGTCAAGAATTTCCAAAGTGTGACTGAACAGAGGGAGAAACAGGAGACACTCGGCACAGAGGGAAAGTGACAGTAGCTGTGAGTGGATCTCAGTTTCCCGTTGTGACCGTCGCTGTGAGACAGAGAGGTAGGGTGGGGACCAGGACACCCTGACCCTTGTTGACTGAAAAAAAATGCACAGCCTAAAAGTTGAGCATTATGTTTTATTCAGCGGGCATTTCTGAGGACTTGAGCCCGGGATGACAGCCTCTCAGACGCTCTGAGGGACTGCTCCCAGGGGGTAAGGGGGAAGCCAGGATACGTAGTTTTACAACAAAGACCAGGTAGTCATGATGCAAGAAAAATGGATGTGGGGCATAAGCAGGGCCCTGTCCTAGGTTTCTGTTGAGTCCCTGGGACGTGCCCTGCCAAGTGTGGGTCCTTGGCTCCGCACAGGAAAAAATTCAAGAGGAAGCCACAGTTGAATAAAGGTAGATTTATTTAGAGAGATACATACTACTTAGCGTGTAGGCTGTTTCAGAAAGCGAGAGAAAGGCCATGAGGTGTGGGGGTTGGGTGCCCAGGTTAAAGTAAAAGTAGATCCACACTCCATAGACAGAATGCAGGCCGTCTCTGAAGAGGAGGGAGCGAGAGAGTGTTGGCCAAGAGGCACGGTGTTGCCAGTTTTTATGGGCTTGGTAGCTTCATATGCTAACAAGTGGACCATTCTAACTACCCTGGGGAAGGGGCTGGGAGTCCCAGAACGTTGGCCATTGCCCACTCTTTGACCTTTTGTGGCTAGCCTTGGGACTGTCATGGCGCCTGTGGGCGTGTTATTCGCCACGCTAATATATTACAGTGGGTGGACAACGAAGCTCAAGGTCTACTGGGAGTCAAATCTCCCACCATCTTGAACCTCAAGGCCTCCTGGGAGTTGAATCTTTCGCCGTCCTGGTGTTAACTGCTGTGTCATTCCTTGAATGGCTGTGCCCTGCCC